CCCCAAAACCCCAAAACCCCGTTTAGCATTAAATTATCAAACAAATCATTAATTTAATTAGACGCAAAATGAAAAAATAGTACCCAAATATGTTCAGTGTGACAGTTTTATCAATGGGCTTTTTTATGATCTATCTAGCAGATAATACAACTATGAATTTATCTTCAGTTATATTAAGTAAAACTGGATTTGGTGAATGGGGATTCTACTATGTTGCTCTATATTTTCTATTTCTTGGAATTGGAAGCATATTCTCTATGCCTATAATACTATTCCTTGGAGAAAAATTGACTATCGTGATCTCAGCATCAACTGTTTGCTTATGGGTGATTTGCTATTCTCTGCCAGCCTACAAAAATGACAACCCTAATTCAGATTAATTTTTTGTATAAGAATCATTTATCAAAGCTTTGATATTTTTAACAACCTTTCTGTATGGCTTCTTGAGTGGCCCACTTTGGGTGTGTTAAGGGTTGGTTTTATCAAAATATGCTACATAAAGCACTAAAGGATTCTACAACTCATTTTTCTTCTCATTTTTCATGGCATCTCAAGTTTTTGGCAATTTAATTGCTGCTTTAGTATTAAGTGCCTCAAATGTCAACAGATTATTCCAAATTCTTGCAGGAATTGCACTTGTTGGAGCAATTCTATTTTTATTTCTTAGGAGACCTACCAAAATAGAATCATAGCAAGAACAATAAGATGAAATATAATCAACATAGGATATAAATGAGCCACAATTAAATGAAGGGAGATCAAAGAGAAAATGTGATTGCTCTAAATATTTAAAGGAAACATATGAAATGATCATATCTAAAAAGCTGTTATATGTCATTCCAATGATAATCTATAGTGGGATTAGTTTAGCAATAGGATTTGGTATTTTTGTTTAATTTTTAGTTTAGACTATGGAATCATCCAACACTTATTCTAACAAAGAATCAGATTAACTAAAGTATGCTATGCTAGGAATGATGGTTTATGGTATTGGCTAGGTCTCTGGAGGTATTATATAGGGTTTAATAATTGACAAAAAAGGCTATAAAGTTTCAGTAATCGTTTGTGGTATCACTGTATTGATTGCTTACACTTTGCTTTTGATATATATTTCCTATTTTCAGTATTTTGCCATTTTATCATATTTTGTTACATTTTTCTTTGGATCTCTTGATAATAGCTTTAATACGATAATCAATTGCTACCTAGGATTTTCATTTGAGTCATAAATTACACCTTTTTGTGCTTTTAGATTTATATAAGGAATAACCATTTTTGTAATTCAAATGATTGAATCGATAATAAAGAAAAGATTTTAATATCTAATTCTGTTTTCAATAACTGGGTCTTTTGCCATTTTCTCTTTAGCGGTGTTATTAAAGTATATTCCATAGGAAATACTCTCTAATAAGAAGGAGATCTCAGATAATGATATAAAGGAAAAGGAGATAGAGTTTAAAATCTCGATTTGATATAAGTGTAGGATAAATTATTGAGAAAATAACTGGAGTAAATATTTTAATTGCAAATATAAAAATTATTTTAGCAAAATCGAATTCACAAAAATATTAGCAAAATTAATAATCGCGGGGTTTTGGGGTTTTGGGG